ATATATATATATATATATATATATATATATATATATATATATATTTATTTATATATTCCCGGGAGTGGAGTTCTTGTTTTATAAAAAAACATGCGATCAGAAGGGACCGCGGCGGATCTAAGTGCATGAGGAGGTAGAGCAAGGTATGAGCGTCATTTTCCATCTGAACATAGCGACCGTGCGTAACCCGACCAGGCAGCATATTACAGCATTGCGCCAGTTGAAAATTGTGAATACACACCCACAATTAACAACTTTTTGGGAGCCTTGAACAGCCACCTCCACGTGGTGCTCCCGGGTCATGCCAAGAGCTGTTCGGTTTTGAAGTTATAATTCATACATTTGAATTATACTTCAAAACATCGCAGTGTCATCGAACTGTCCCTTAAACATATATATATATATATATGTTAATGTGCTGTCTTTTGTCCATAGGATACTGATGAGGCAAGAGGAGAGGAGATCGCAGTGCCTCCTGAAGCCATGTCCATTCCAAGAGACACTGATCACGACCATCAGATGAGTCCTGCTCCGAATTTTCCCAGTGATGAAGAGACGAGAGCTGCCGTGGCCCATATTCTGAATGTAAATATCATTCAATAAAATTTCATTCCACAGAAATAATTGGAATACTTTTTACAATTGGATACGAATGCTGGACACAATGATGATTCCAATCTCATCATACTTAATGAACCGGTGACCATCAGCCAGGAATCTCACAACCCCTCTTGCTCTGGGACATTACCAACACTCTCTGCCAAGGTGAAATTCGTGTAACTATTTTCTTCACTCATGAGCATCATGTAATCATTATTGACATATTACTTATAAGGATATTTTTCCGGGTTGTTCACCCAGGAAAATCCAAACTACTTTTTTGCCGTCTCTATCACTCAATAGTCGGGCGCCAGCCGAACCTTCACGGGAGGTTCGACGAAAACCGGCCTCTGAGGCAAACTCGTCCACTCAGAGGACTTTTTGGGCTGGACAATGGGTTGCCTAGCTAACATCAGCGTGATACGGTAGAGTGGGCGAGGTCCACCAGGAGTATTACCGTCATATTCCACGGCCTTTGCAAGCCGAGGATTATGCCTCGCGGCATAAGTTCCCTACTGAATGGGATTGATCTTTCCTCTGGAGGGTCTCTCGACCCCTCCGGCATACTTCCTCTCTCCGAGTATTTCTACTCGGGAGAGTTTCCGAACTATTTGCCATTCAGCCGGGACTCCTCAGAGCCTGGGACGTGGAGAGGCTGATCTGACCAGGGTGGAACTACGTTACCCACGCTACGACCACCCACTCTCTCCACCATCAGTTACCGCTTTGGTCATCGCGCGTCACTGCCTCCGGGTAGTACTAAACCGTCGGCGTATGGTCGGACCGACAGGAGGATTTCTCGACTCCAGGCCCACGGGCCCATACGCCTCGAATCGTTCCGCCGAGACTAGATGACGCCGAACACGACGAAGTCGTCACCTCGCGTTCCGAAATAACTCAGATTTACGCGCGGGGGATGCAGGGGCATCCCCCTATATTCGCCGTTACAGTTATGCACCGGGCTACGCTGAGTAAACTCCTTACCATGGCTTCTTCAGCCATCCACCACTTCCAGCACACCGAGAGATTATTTCAACCTCTCGGTTCAAGCGCTCGCGTGCGACTCACTCGGAATCTTACTAGGGCCTTGCCTCCTAGTCTGGATATCTCGGCGACGATAGGTCATTCCGTTACCCTATCCCCACCAATCAATCCGACGGGATCACGGAGGTACCAGTCCTTTCACCTGGCCGTTGGTCCCTAGCCTACTTCGACATAGCCTGTAGAATCGCCCAGTTGGACGGCCTGTACGTCGGCCCCGTTTCCCCTAGCACATGCTGGGCGAATTCTAATACGGCGATAGTCTAGTAACGTCCTCCAGACCTTCAGGGGTCGCGGTTTCACCCATAACCGCTATGCCTTAGGTCTTTCATTGGCTTGTGGTTTATCTCACCTAGTCCCGGCTTTCTTCAGCCGCTTCTAGGTGTCACTACTTATCTCTCTTCAACAATTTTGAGAGTTCACTCATCTTTTTAAGGGGATTTCAACCCGTAACGAGAAAATCTCGTTACATACTTTAGGATTGGTTGACCAGAGACAAGACTGACATCATTCCGAGTCGAGGAGAGGTCTTTCGTGTTCCAGATTTGATCACATTGCTAGGGGTAAATTGGCTTAATGACGTTGTAAGTATATGAAGTCCACCCAGAAAGAAGAAAATTTCTATAACGTACGTTTTTCTTGTTACAGATCATAAATAAATATCTGAACCTTATCGTGGAAAGAAGTGGGGTGGCCGTATATGCATTCAGCACTTTCTTCTACAATAGACTTGTGGAGTCCTACAGTAATATCAGCAGATGGACTAAAAATGTGAGTTGTTACTTTGTGACATTGTCTGGTATTTCTAAAATATCAGGCAATGTGAAAAGGTGCGTGTTGAGACAACAAGTGACAATCGACGTGAATTCTTTAACCTCTCAAATATTCAAAATATCTATATTCCGGTTATGTCAGTAAACTCGAGATGATCCTCAATAATAAGGGAAATAATTCGTAAACAACTCTTTCCTGAGAACTCTCCACCCTTCAGAAGCACGCAGTGCCATGTACACCGTTACCTATTTGTTGTCCGGTGTGCTCGTGCTTGATCTAATTTAATTACTGTATTGTGGGGAAGAGGATATTATTCAGTAAAGAGAAAGATTATCGAGTTACTGAACAGTCTGTATTCTAAAGAAATGGAACTTGACTAATTTTATAAACAGAAAAACAAATGATTTTGCTACTGGCGGGTCGTCACCCAAAATAATAATAATAGAAATGAAATAAGGCTATCGTTCAATAAGAAAAATGAAAGAAAGAAGAATAATCAAAAATAATACTAATATTAATAATAATAATACAAAATGCCGGAAACTCCGGTCCACACTACTCGATACAATCCAAAAGAATTAGGAAGCAAAGATATCTGTTGACTTGCTATCCGGAAAAACACCGGCGAGGTTCAGTTGTTCATTTATTAATTCTCCAAGGACAAATATATGGTGAGCAGGGCCGTAGACACTGCCTGGGCTTCCACAACGCCTCTTACCCGCGATACTAGCCGAGATATGTCCTCTCTCTCCATGTACCTCCGGAGAACAACAATACAAAGGAAACGAAAATAAAATAATAATTACAATTAATAATATCACAATATTATCGGTAGCTCAGACGCTCGTAACGCTTACAATAAATTATTGTAGTTCACTCCGGTAAGCACCGACTCGACGGTCATGTGGTTTTATCAAGATGGAGTCGATAGTCTCCGTTCGCAACGAGATTCCTCCTGCCAGAGAAGCTGACAGGAGCTTCAATGAGCTCCAAAATGCTCTGGTACTCGCTAACGACCCCGTCGCACCAATGACAATATTTTATATAAGCACACTCACTCTAATCACTTGTCCTGACCCAATATTACGCCTCGACTCCGTCCCTCGCCACGTGTTCGCTCAATGAATAAAATATTCGCCGGGAGATTCGCCTGGATATTTGCCGCCTATATTTCGCCTCGAAATTGCCCTCAGTCGCCTCAAAAACCTCCGGATAAGATCCGGAGAACCTTGTTCCCACCTCCGTTTCCGAGTTTGCACGAAAAGCTTCTTAATTGGACCCACACAATAGATACGAAAATTAGAGAAACTTAAAGTGATGCAAAGCGATTGACAGTAGAGATGGAAGTAATGATGGAGAAGGCGGAAGTAATAATCACCCTCTCCGTCTCAGGCTATCTCGCTCCATTTCTCTCGGGCCTTGACATTGGCCCGGATTTGAATTATTGGCCAATCCTGGCCCCAATTATATAATATCGCCGGCCACGTGCTATGCGATGGCGCCTCCTATTCCTTCAAGTGTGGATCTCCGGTGTCAGGTGGTATCGGACGTCTTTCCGGTATTGCCAATTGTCTCGTGCATGAGTCGATTGTGTTGTGCGTGTCACTGAGTAGGTTGGGTGGGTCCGGAACATGCTGCGCCCTCGTGAGATATTCTTTTGGGTTCGCAGGAGATCTGAATTCTTCCGGTAATGCCACGTGTTTGTGACTCGAGTGCGGAGAGGTAACTGTGACGTTTTTGCTCTTTTTTACAGCTTCTGGTCGTCGTGATCTATTTTATCTCAGGCTGATGATGGTTCCCTCCGGTGCCGGATGACTTCTCGGTGATGGTGAAGTGAGTCAGGACTCCTCGTTATCACTCGGAACCGACTCATTCGGTAATCTCATTCATAACCTCTACGCTAGCGACCGGTGTATATGAGCATCGATAATCATTAATTGTTATTGTTTCCCCCCACACGTCCAATCGAGGACACAAACGAACCCACGTCGTCACAACTTCATGGGCCAATTAATATCGCATATCATACGTCTGATACTTACTTCGTCTGTTTTTCATCCCAGGTGGACATTTGCAGCAAGGAATTATTATTAATACAGATACTGCAGCATAGTCACTGGTATCTTTGTGTAATTCGGCTGAAAGGGAAGCTAATTGTGTGTTACGACAGCCTGGGTGGCTCGCATACCTCGGCGATGCAAGTAGGTTCATCGTGGTTAATATTATTTTCAGAACACATTCTATGGAATATCTATTCCAACTCTTCAATAATTCTACTGCAGTTCTAGGTATATAATAATCATACTTCCTTTTTCACGCGGATACTGACTATTAAATTTTGTTTTATACAATAGTCAATAGATTTGCATCCATATATGCCAATTATGAGCTGGACATTTCCCTCGTAATAATTATTGGGCATTAATTTGCTATTTTTTCTGATTAATTACAACAATAGACATTTTTAAAAGACCTTAGGAAATTTCTTGAATAGTTTATTGAGAAAAATCGTACATAATTCATACAGTCAATCGCAATCCATTACTGTTATTTTTATGGCATATAAATTGAGAAATCATCTAGAAAAGTTACAGTAATTCCATAATTCGAATAGAACAAGGGTAGAGTTGTTATAGAGGGGCAAGAGAAAGTTGATGTAATGTAATGCAAAGTGCTTTAAGTATTGTTTTAAAAGTATAGGCAAAACATTCACTTTCTAAATATATATGAGATTATTGAATATTTGGTAATAAGTCTAATTTTTCATTTACCAGTGAATCGTTCAATATCTGAGTGTTGAGTACGATAAAAGACATCAGTCCTTCTCTCACACAGAGTGGGCAACGATAGATATTGATGTAAGTATTGTTTGTCTTAATTTATATTTTGGTAACGGAAGAACTATCCATGACGTTCATTCATCAAAAATACTAATCAACAGAACATTCTTCTTCAAAACAATGGCTGGGATTGTGGGGTTTTCGTCTGCTCATACGCTGAGTACTTGACAAGACGAGCACTTTTCATCTGCACTGTTGGCGTTATGCCGGAAATTCGAGAAAGAATGATGGATGAACTTGTTCCATCACATTTAACACGTCCCCCATCTGAAGTTTCACTCCCACCACTGGTTGATAGAGGCGACAATGTTCCAGAACGTCCAATCACCTTGGTGAGTCCAGTGGTTTTATCATTGAAGAGCCTTCACCCCTAGAATTAATGGCTTTCCATTAATTGAGTTCCACATTTCTTCTGTACTGAATTATGAGCAAACCATTTTATTTTTTATTGCGTTTCCCATTATTGCTTCCAGAATAAACTGACTTGGCTTCTGACGGACAAAAAGAAGATCAATGAAATTGTCATTTGTAACGAACATGTGGGGATGTTCATTAGAGACACCACCCGGACCTGAGAACATCCACTTCCGGCGACATTCGGAAACGGATCGTCAGTAGAGAGAGAGAAAGAGAAATTAGGGTTTTGCTTCCCACTCCGCTGTGGTCATTTTTCCGATTATCCCTGGAATAATCGAGTCATGTTTTTCCGTTTAAGCGGAGTTATTTTTCGTTGCTTCGCACTTCCGTTTAGTAATTTTGCGGTTTCGTTTCGTTTTTTGACTAATAAAGATCTGAAATTATCCGTTTTTGAGGGCTCATAGGGTTATCGTGAAGAAGGGCCAAATTTTAGAGTCATCCGATAACCTTTATGGGATTGTTAATCTTACGGTAAATCGTTAGGTCCGGCTGAAATGCCGGCGCTCCAAATTATGATGGATTTTACGGTGGTTGACTGGTTACGTTTCAGTTTTTCGGTGGAAGGTCACGTGGAACAAGTGCAACCCTTGTATCCCGTGAATTGCCAGGTTCCTTAGAGTTTTGGAAAGTTGAGAGAATTAGTTAGGAGTATCGGTCTTTTAACCCCATGAATCCAGGAGAACCGACGTGTAGAAGGCGCAAAAAATCCACGGTAATTTTCCGAACGTCCACTAGTTCGGCCCAGGTTAATCATCAGTCAATTTTATAAAGTTACGTGTAGAATAATTAGAGGTGAGTATTTTTCGCGTTTGAATTCCCCGAAATCATTCCGTGGTGCCATCGAAGCCAACGCTTGATGTGCCAAAATCTCCGCCAATCAGAGCCCGCCTCTGTTGGCCGGAATTCGCGCTGTGGTTAGTGCCCGTGACACTGACCCAGGGCAGTTAGTTCCGCGTTGACCGTCCCAAACCATTAGTCGCGTGTGAATTTTTGTGTGCCCATATTACGCAACTGCGCACTTGGATTATTGCCAAGTTATCCTGTAGCTGTAAGAATCCAGGATGGTCCGAAAAGGGAAGAGGACCCTCAAAAACCGAAAAGCCGTGAGTTTTCTGGTATTTTTCCCCTAATTTCGAGCCATTTTCGAATGGCGTCGTTTCCCCTTTATGGCGGTATCCTTCGCGGGGCCCTCAGCCACGTGCAGTGGTTGATTACCCCCCTTGATTCATATTTGTTGGTCCGAATTTGGCACTTTTTTGGGCATTATCCCTTACCCCGGATATTTATCCGCGGGCCCTTCCGATTTTTGGATCGGATATTCCACCCAAATCGGGTACCGAGTTCTCACCCCTTTTGGTTTATCCCAATCATCTTTTGAGATGATTTTTGGATTCAGCGAGTGTGTTTGTTCGGTAGTGGATTTCTTGCGTCTTTTCCCAGTCGAAATCGGACGATTTTCGACGTGGGCTATTTCTTTCTCCCTCGCTCCTATGGCGAGGAGTATCCCTATTTTCCCTAGGTATAAATTGCGTAGAGTTTTTCCTCTCGCGGTAACCCCCTAACGCGCCTACAATTGGTGACTATCGCTTTCCGTAAGCGTGTTCCTCCGTTTAAATTTCCCTCCGGATATAACTCAATCTGGAGTGGCTCCCAATGATCCCAAAATTATGATTTTGGTTTCATGAGCTTCGCTAGACCTTCCCGAGCAAGTTGACTATGGGTTTTTGAAAATTTACTTTGGAGTTTTTAGTTTCCCGCAATACGCTATACGTATATCGCTGGGTTTAGATTTTTCTCTCTCTCACTCTCACGGGGATTCGCATACCTTTCCCTTCAATTCTCGATATTCTCGAGTATTTCGGGATTAATCGATAATTTTTCGTACACATTGTGGTATGAGGAATTTGATGACCTCACTGGTGGTCGAATTAATCGACCAAATATTACTTTTGCATTATATAGGAGAATTCAAATGATTATTTCCCATTTAATTTTTTCATTATTGCTATTTAATCCGTATTGTTAAGAATCTTTTTTTTTGTGAGATCAATGCGAAGAGAAAATCATGTATATTATTAATTATTCATATTTCAATGGTGAAACACGTAAGAACGATGTTGATTTCTTTTCCTTTTTTGTAGCTTTGACCACCTAATACCCGTCTCCACCTGAAATCCACCCCTCTCTCCACAACCTAGCATACTGAGCGAACCAAGGACCGTTACCTTTCCCCAGAAATCTAGTTTTCTCCCTTTTTGAGTACGTTTTTGAGGTTTTGGAATTAATTAGAATTGGTTTTGTGGATTCCTCCGGTTTGGTAACTCCGGCTAAAAATTACCTGGCGCCCATAGATTTTTGCATTTTTGAGTTTAACTAGATGAAGGGGAAGAAGGGCGAAGGTAATAGGCATTTTTAACCCCCATACGAAAATGTCACGTTACAAATGGCGCCCAACGTGGGGCTCCGAGATTATTGGGTGCGAAAATTTTTGGTTAGTTAAAAATTTTGCGCTTCTTTAAGAATTTCCCGTTTTGAATTGTTGCGAATTTGAGAATTTTTGGGATTTTTGTTGTATCGGGTTTCATTTGACCCCACTCAAGTTGAGGCTTCGAAATTGAGACTTAATTCCATTTCTGTCTCATTTTTCGATCCCGTGATGATCTCATCGCGCCAGAATTTTGTTTTTCGAAATGGCGACTTAATTCCATTTCTCTCTTATTTTTCGATTTCGTGATGATCTCACCGTATTGAAGTTTTATTTTTCTCGAGTCCTATTGTTCCGTTTCTTTTGCGTTGAAATTTCAACTTCGCCTGTTACTAGGCTGATTTATTTTCCTGCGAGTGAGATAGTTGAGGTTGAGGATTACGTGACATCCCAATGATGGGATTAGGTTTAATCCGAGACAAATAAGAAGGAATTTTTTTTTGTCTCGAGTTTCCTTGGTAGCAGCCAAGCGGTAAAATTTTTGATAGTTTCGGTTAACGATAACCGCCTGTTGCTAGGTGGGGACATGTGACCGATCACGTGATCCCTACTCTACGTAATTTTCTCCGCTCTATGGGTGAATATCTTGAGGTCCTCCCCTCTCGGGAGAGTTAGTCCGCGGCTGGAGGGGATTGAACCCCCCCATCTCTAATCAGCGGTATATAATGAGGCTCGCACCTTGCGTCCAGCACTTGGTTTTCGGCCGCCTCAACGCTCAGTTCAGCTCGGTTTCGAGTCATCGAGTTGGACGAAACTTTTTTTTTGTTTTTGGCTTCTTTGTGAAATATTGGTGAATCCGATGGTGCGACTTTCTCCTTGGATTAATTTCGAATTCCTTTCGGATTAATTTAGATTACGCTTGGATTTTCACGTCGCACCGCGGAGTATTGAGGATAAGTGATAACAACGCGATTATCCCGTTTTTCTCATTCGAGAATTACGTGGTTCTGGCCCATGATTGGTAATCCATCAGGTCTCAACGATCCTCCCTGGAATGTGTTTCACAGAGGCTGATTCACTTCCTATTGTTGGATTATCCCGA